CACCGCCACCGGAGCTGACAGCCCTGTGGGACATGGATAGTGCTGACTACGAGTGTGACTGCCCAGGGCCGCCTCCAGAGTTCAGGTTACCACCTCCACCACGACCGCCTTTCCTCGAGGAGTCTTCCGGGGCGGCCTGTTCTGAGACACCGATCGTGGACCTCGAGACTTGTGAAGCTGTGCCTGTAAGTATACTTCACGTCGTACACACGAAGAAATTACACGTAACTCTCGTTATACGCGTTTTTGCTATCCCTGTCTTCACAGATCCGAGATTTTATTTCAGTGTCTTTACGAGAATTAATATCCTATCCGCGGCCACTGACAAGTTTGTCCTCTGCTTAAACACCACATCACGAAAACGTGTAGAGTGTGGAGATAAAGCTACACGATTTCTTAAAAGTCGACGCCTGAACGACGTGAGTGGTAACCTTCGCGCGCCGGCCACTTTTACCCTGAAAAAACTTCCTTCTTTCCGTCGGTAAATTACTTTCGTAATATCGGTAGAAATTCCGTGGACGCTAGAATAATACAGGGCTTAATCAGCTGTTATATCATCATGAAGAGCGTGACAGTTCCTAATTTATGATTTGTACCTAGTTAAGAATAAGATCTACCGGATTTGTTTTAGTTTCAGAATACAGCTCGAAAATAGCTTATTAATTTAAGTACCGAGGATTAATAAAGATACTTCTGTCTCACCACCCTATTGTATCCTTTTTACCAAACGTGGCCGACTTGCATTTACTTATGCTTTCAGAAAAACATGCTAGAGTGGATGTGAGATAATAGCACAAAAGTATCTGACTCCTATTTACAATAGAACCTGTCACATCTCTCGTCGTGCCTGCTTCAGCGAGAGGTTCTGAATGTTTACTGGCTTGTCACTGTGAGTTAATGTCTTCACTCAGCATCGTATGCAGCAACCGAGTCAAGACAACACTGCTTTTTCTTTATTTCTCTCTGATTTGTCACCCCGATGGAGATTATGTATTATTTCACATTTTACATTATGAAACACAGAAGTTCTGTTCAAGAGTGCTTTAAGGAATACAGCATGCTGTTGGCCAACCTTTCGTTGGCTTGATCTATAGACATTCGGTAGGAAAACGCGGACAGACATCCATGGCTTGAGTGGAATTCGAACCCACGGTCCCAGCGACCGCGCGGCCACTGCGGACCCCAAGATCTGGAACAAGGGAATATAAATTGGGGGAGGGGCTTGACTGAATTCAGCTGGCTCAGGAAAGTATGTTATGGTGGACGTTTGTGAACACGGTAATAAACTTCTGGTTTCCATAAGGGCAGCGAATTTGTTCACCGAGATACTATAGGCTTTAAAAGGAAGATACTGGAGCATGGGATTAGTCAGTTTCTTTGTTTTGAGAAAAGCAAAATAATATTGAAGTTTAGTTTCAAGATAAATATGAATACTGATTTTTTAGCGCGTAATCAGGGCATCTGCCATTACTGACGTTTATTATGTTCCATGCAAGAATAATACACATAAATGTGGGAGCTCTTTAAAGTTAGGGACTTTCTGGAGACTTAAGCAACTTTTATGTTTTTGAGCATCGTTTCTCAACCGGAAAACATATCGAAGGCATCATGCTAGAAGGACGTATCATCATAGTTTTATAATCTGATATATTTGATCTAAAATCATGAAATAGTGGAATGTACGTCATACCAGAAGGGCGTAATACTGATGCTACTCTGCACAGAGGTTCAGACGTCTACATTGAGCATGGAATAAGGTGGTCTCAGCATTTGCTGGACTTAAGATATTCGACATCGCAATCGATAGTCAAACCCGGGACCACTGTAAATTAAATAGGATTACTAATCAGTCGATTACGAACTAGGATGAGAATGTTTTAAGGCAGTACACTGGTGGAATCTGTATATCAAGGTAGTAGTGCACTGAATGTGTCGTGTAACTTGCTGCAGTAAAATATTTAAAGGAAAATTCGCTCTCCTTATCTAACTGAGTGTGTCACATGGTACGTTGTAGCGCTGAGCGTATAGCAAGCATAAGATTGTGAAGAGAAGCCGAGAAAGATGGTCTGAAATAATGAGATTGAAGCTGAGTATGCAACAGAAAGGCAAAAAACCCGGGAAAACACACACTTGCGTAGATACACATAAAAAAGATGAAAAGGAGATTTGAAACTGAACTGAATATGAAAAAGAAAATGATGAAAAATTGGTCATATTACAGCGGAAAGAAAAACTGAAATCTCTGGCAAAAAATAAGAGACCTCTAAATGCACTAGGATGAAACAGTAATAATCAAATATTCCTCAGATATTAAAATGGTTGCCAGCCTTTGGACGCTGAAAAATTGTTCCTTTATGTAGTACTTTCGGCCGTTCTGCATTTTTTCATACTTTCTGCTTTAGAGTCTTTGGTAAGGCTGTTTGTACCCAAATTATTCTCGTTCATAAATCATAATAATCGTCACGCAAACATTTTTGGACAAGAGCGTTAGCCGTCAGAAAGTGTCTGAACCTCAGTCACGATGAATGAACTTACCGTGTAAACGGTAATGCGCCTTACTTTTGCTTGTGAGGCGCCCGGTTCAAATTTCGGACGAGTATCTTCCTTTCAACTGTTTTCCGTTCATTCATCATCTGTTGGTCATTATCTGCGTAAACTTAATGGTTGAAAGAATAGGACACTACAGTTAACCAGTGTACAAAGGCAGTACCAGAAATGTAATGAGGATTTACCCAGTTCAGTAGCCATCTTGTGTTCAGCTTCGTCTAAACCTCAACAGAACTTAGTCATTCATCTTCGTACTCACTGATAACCTTCGAAGTTAACATAAGAATTACAGTGAGAGAACAGAAACAAATTGACGTTGTGGCGGTCTTTACCACGACCAATACAGAGACCATCTTGTTTTTATTTTGTTCAAACCGTACCGGTAATTTTTTTATTGTAATAATAAATTCACATAAAAGTTCTGAGATTAACTCCAGAGGATACTGTGTGTACATTCAGAGAAACGGCAAACAAGGTTGTTCTGCTTGTATCAATTTACGTCCTCAAAATTACTTTAATTTAACGCCATTTTGAGACAGATGAAAAGGAATTGAAACAACAAGTCGTTACTACTACGAACAATAATAACAAGAAAATTTCCCATCAGGTTTAAGACATATTCTCGATTTTGCCGATCATTCCATGACTCTAGAGGCTGTTACAGGAGTCATCAGACCAGGAAGGATATGCTGAAGGAAATTGAAGCAGAATTTCGTGATGTAGCTCGCTCGGTTTCTTTCCTTTTCTCCTCTTTCCACAATTTCAGAGCTTATGAATTTTTTCTCCGCCCTTGTGAGGAGACAGGAGAAGTCAACCGAGTAAAAACACTCTTTTCCACTACAGAATCCTATTATGGAGCCTTAGACCAATGTATTAATTGATATTCGTGACGCATTCATAGTTCTTTCGGGCTGAATTAGTATCTGAAACCCATTATGGCTACATGTAAAGAAAAGTCTATGAAATATTGGAACCACATACTTTTGCGCCTGGACTCTTACATACGTTCGGAGACTTCTGATCCCAGCGAAATATTTTCACTCTACATTTTTTATTTCCTAAACGTCAAGTCGCAGAGAAAAATTAGAAAGAACAAAGAAAATTCCTTCTATACCAAGTAAAAAAAAATTGTCAATATAGTACATTTCCAGTTTCCAAGTGCTTACGTCACGAAAAATTGTTTCATAAAAGCAAGTCAGAGATATAAATAGAAGGGGGCTAATTTGATTACATTTCCTGCTTATGCCGTAAAAATAATTAATATGTTGCATTTATTACGTTAACTAAAGACCCTCAAAATACTTTCACAGGAAACTCACCTTGTTGGTCATAAGTTGGAGATGGAAGGTATACATATTATTTTAACCAATTGCTTCTAAAAGATACGGTTATTATTATAGTTAATTAAATAATCCACAACGTGCATAGAATGCGTTGAAAGGAGTTTGAGGTTATCCATCACTTTAGGAGCTCTGGCTATCTATCCCGCACTGACAATTTATTGACGTTGCTATCAGAGCTCGTAGATAGCTAACGGAACAGAAATATATACGTCCTACCCATGTATTTAATGCTACAGATAGGGTCTAGTTATTGTGGCCATTTCGTTAATGATATCCAAGGTACTGTGTTTTAGAACGGTCAATATATTTTAGCCCTACTAAACCTTGTTTCCAGAAAAAAAATAACATTCGGCCAAGTAGTTTATATTACACGTCGTTAATAAACTGCTTGAATAACGCTGACATGTGCTTGATAGTAAACAGAACTGTTTGGGACGGAGAATCTAAAAATATTTTTCTCGCAATATGATATTTTCTCTGTCCCGTGTTTCTGGTTTACTTAGTGGCAACAGACACCATGGTCCAGAGCTTTCCTCTAAATAGGTTACAGTTATTCGGATGGTGGGGATAATCCCCGCTTTTATGGAACCCGAAAGCTCGTTACCGTACTAACAAAAGCTCAGCATTGGACTCTACTGTAAACCCGATTACTTAAGCCCGAATTTTCACACCCCAGTCCACAGATTTGTTTTAATTTCTAATTCCCCATTCGTGTTTCATGTCTCGCGTGTTACATCCTATTTGATTTAGAGGGAAAATAAAATGACTTTTCAGTCCTTTGCCACTCTTCCCCTGGGCACATAGGTTTCTCTGGCAGGATTGTGATGTTTATTATGCCGCAGCTGAACCTGCGATGATTAATTCTGCAGTACAAAATTTGCAATCTTCGCTGGCACTCAGGAAGTAGCGACAGCATCTGGAGATCACAACTCGCTCGAATCTGCATACGATTTCTAGGGCGAAACCTCAAGTCTTGTCAGGCACGATTTCATATAAATCTCCTCTTTAGATATTCTGTGTTATACAATACGCCATAACACACAAACACATGCACTTGAGACACAAATCTGCGATGGAAAATTTCAGTTGCCTTTTTCCTTTGAGACCTCCAAGTCCTTGAAGCGTCCAGCAGTTGTTTGCTACTTGATTATTGGAACTGCTTGGTATTTTAATTGGAATTCTTTGTAACGTTTCTAAAAACCTCGCGATCGACTAGCTTTTACTTAACGTGTTGGCAATATAGGAGCCATTTGTCACCCAACCCATTGTCTGCTTACCCCATTGTCCATGTTTCT